TCATATTAATTCTGTTCCTTTCTTTCCTTTCCCCTACCCCTCCCACTTCCCCTTCCCTTTTGACCCTTGGAGCAGCCCAGTTGCCCATCAACTGGAGACTGGATAAAGAAAATGGTTTTTTTTTTAATAAAATGGAGTACTACTCAGCCATAAAAAATGAGAAATTAGAGACATAGCTAAAGGGACGCACATTGAGATGATACTCTTTAAGTGAAATAAATAGGACACACATGTATAAATACCACATGGTTTCTCTAGTGTGAGAAACTGCAAGTGTAAATAAGAACTAAAAAGGTATAATAATGTGAAAACATTCAATTTTTAAAATAAATGGATGAAAATACTGGCTTTAAAATACTGAAAATCTAAAACAAAATATACCAAAATTATGCTCTATATGTAAGAATTTTGGGGGGAATCTTTTATTTTTCCCCCCTTATTTTTGTTGTTTTGTGGTGGTTTTTTTTGGTACTCAGGATCGAATTCGGATCCTTGCGCTTGCGCAGCAGGCAGCAAAACCACTGAGCTAAATTCCCGGCCCTCCCCCTTTATTTTTAATGGAAGTATTATAAAAACTAAAGTACACCTTTGAAAGATTTTTTTTTTATGTCTTGTTTAACATAACAGAAAAACATTAAATCAGTCTGATTATAAATTAACTTTGGTTTTCAGTTTTTTATATATGACTTTTTGTTGTAAGTAATACTTGAGATCTATTTTCAGCCTTCGGGCCTGAACTTGTTTAGATTTTAAACAGGTACGGGCCTGTCCACACTCAAAAATAATAATTTGTTTGCTTCCTATAAGAGTAAACCAGTTTATGAAATAGAAAGGAAATTTTTGAGCCAATGTAAATCACTTGAACTTGAACAAATATTAGATCAGTTCATAAAAATGAGTTCCCTGGGTTGTGTTGAAAGAAAATTTCCTTTTGGCCTTCATTGTGGTAATTTAGCAATGGAGTGGTCACCTCTCCCGTACAAAGCCAGGACCTAAATTTGTTTGCTATAGCTTCCTTTTGGAGCAGTGTAATGTTAAAGAATGCTGGGTTAGTAATGGGAATGTTTTAGTTTTCTCTGGCTCACTGTGATTTTGGGTGAATTTCTTATATCTCCTAGATCTTTAGTATAGTTTTCTCATCTGTCAAATAGTAGGGTGAGCCTGGAGTAGACACTAATGGCTTCCATTTGGAGATATAGAGACCTTTAGAGAGCCACTGAGGCAAGGAAGGCTCAATGATATTGCCCACCTACCCTACTTTATTAGTATCTATCAGAATATTAATGGTATAAAGTATTTGACTAAAAGACTTGAATGGCCATTGTTTTGTGTGTTTGTGATATAGGTCTGAGTGGTTCACTAGTCAGAATGATTCTGTTCACCAAACTGGCTATTCTGAGGTTTCTATTAGCTCATGATGTGAAGTTTCCCTGTGTATTTATGTTGTCTTCAGATTTTTCATCAATGACTAGTTATTAGAATAAGCTTGATATCCTTTATTTCATAGGAATAAACAAAAACTCTTGTTTCTTCAGTAGAACATTCAGAATATTTCAGATAATTTACATCATATGCATGCACACACAAACACATGCACACAAACGTGAACACACACACAATGGCTTTTTTGGTTTTTTACTATGCTAGGGATTGAGCTGAGGACCTCATGCATGCCAGGCAAATGCTCTACCTCTGAGCTATACCCTCCCAGTCCCCAAAAACGTTATTAATCAAATATACCAAGCTGGTTAGCATCTTCGTCTTTTTTCGTACTTTAATACCTATTTTTTATTAACTTTCAAAAAACTAATATTCAGTGATCTTTTGTGATAAACTGCCTTGTTTCGTGTGTCATTATTTTGTATTTGAGATTTGCTCACATGTATACACAATAGCTGCAGTCTTTTCCACACCATTGATTCTCTATACCAGTAAACATGCTGCAGTCCTCATGCTGTTTAAAAAAAAGAAGTGTTAGGGCCGGGGATTTAGCTCAGTGGTTCCTCACAAGCACAAGGTCCCGAGTTCAATCCCTGGTACCAAAAAAAAAAAAAAAACAATTCAAGAAGTGTTAGTTTTTCTCAACTTTAGTCCCCCAGGTAAACTTTGGTACATTTAATAAGAAACTAGACTAATGCATATATTCAGCAGCTGTATTTTTTGTTTTTAGGGTTCTCTCAGAGCGTATTGACCTCCCAGTCCTCAGATCCATAGCATCTTCTCAGTCTTTGTCTGTCTTTCTAGGCACATGACATCAATGAAGTCTTTGCTTTTGGAACCTTCTTTTCTGGTCTCTTGGAAAAGAGTATCTCTTTCCTTTCTATCTCTGATCTTTTCAATGCAGCTTCTTTTGTTACTTTATGATTTACAGAGTTTTGACTTTATTTTCATTCTTTCATTAAGTATTATTCCTAAAACAAATGTATCCATTTTCATTTTCTCTCACCTTCTACAAATGTCTCCTAAGTCTGTAGACCCACGTTTCCAACAGTTTACATATCTGTGCATATCCAGTTAACACTTCAGACTAATGATTTTTCATGCCTACTATATATACTTTCTTATGATTTTCATAGTATTTTTCTTAATTACTGCTGTCATCTAAGAAGGATCTAAGCTGGAAACTTGAAGTCATCTTGTATTTCCTGCTCTGTCTTACATACACTCATTCTTCCAGTTTTTGTCCTTTGCCAGCCTACTTCCAATCCCAGCACCTTGTTTCATGTCCTCATCATATCCCATCTGAGTAATTGAAATAACATTTTAATCAGGCTTTTCTTCTCCAGCTTTTCTCTGCAGTGTTACAGTTTGCTTCCTGATTCATAAATCTGATATTATCTTCCTGCTAAAAATAATGATTTACTCTCTACATTGTTCATAGCAAAACCCCAGTGTTTCCATAAAATCTCAGGTCATTCACAACTTGGGTTCAGCCTTCTTTCTAGTTACATTCCTTTAGCTCTTCCCTCTACTTTATCCCCATTTCTCATGTACTTCTGCCCTATACAGTGTAGTGTTTACATCATACCACTCTATTCTCTTCGCCTCAGATTTGTCATAATCTCTGGGCCCTTGAGAAAGAAAATGTCACTCAAGTGCATTAATTCCTTAAAGATGCTATGTGACATAGATGTTTTTAGATTTTTTAAGTGGCAACTAAAAACTTAATATTTTTGCTTCTATAGCTTCTTCAGGATATTTTCTATAGTAATTTGATTTATTAAAGTTATAATAGATATTATACTGTACTTTGTGTAATAGTTTCAAGATCACTTTGAACTGAAATATTTATAACATATTAGTCCCAGTTATCAAGGCATTTAGGTTTGAGCACATGAAATAATATACATAAATACTTGTGTAGTTGGATTTTTATGTGAATAGAAATACAAAATAAAAATTGTTTTAACTGTTACACTAAGAATTAGAGTTAAATAAACCTGTATGTAACAGCAAACATTTAAAATCTTGTCCTATGCAGTTTTGGACTCTTTAGTAATTTGTACAGAAGAAGTATTTGTAAATATTGAATAGTCTGAATTCAAATCTTTTATCTGAAGCTCCATCTGATACCATTATTGTATGAGATTCCAAGAACTCTTTTTGACACCAGTTACTATACCAAGATGAGTCCTAATAGCTTTTATTCTGGGTAGAAGTATCAAACCAAATATTTAATCTACGTACCTTGGATAAAGCTTCCTCCTTTTTTTAAACTGTGTATATTTACCAATAATTAGTATGTACTAATGTAATAAAAAGAATAGATAATTCCTCTTTGGGAAATTGTTTTGTTGGTTTGTGGCATGCTGCCATGATTGCATTAGATGGCAGTGAGGAATAATGTGCTTTAAAAGTTGCTTAGACAAAGCACTTTCAAAGCTAATCTGCCCATATAAATTCAATTTTCCTTGTGTAAGAAATAATAGTAGTGTTGATAGTGTGGAAAATAATCTCCATAATTTAATTAGAACTCCTCATTAATCTGATCCCTTGCCAGTGCACCTCTTACAAAAATGGCAAGCTGTAAACTTACCTTGTCCTTTTTAATTTGTAGCCAGAGCAAATGATGCTGCTCATAGTATTGCTCAAAAGTCAAAAGGTCTGCTCCAGACAAATATAAACCCTTACTCTGTTTCTCTCTCTACTGGAACATCCCATAGAGTTTTCCTCTGTATACTTATTTATGTGTTTTTGTTTTCTCATTACACTATAAAGTCCTTGAGAATAGGAAGTACATCTTATCACCTGTATGTTCCATTACTTAACAGATTACATGGTGGATACCTTAAGCATCTATTAAAAGTTGTCCTAAAAGTTTTTATCAGGCCTGTAATCCCAGTACTTAGGAGGCTAAGGCAGGAGAATCACTACAAGTTTGAGGCCAGCCTGTGCTACATAGTGAGTTCAAGGCCAGCCTGGACTACATAGTGAGAGCCTGTCTTTAAAAACCAGGGAGGGCCGGGGATTTAGTTCAGTGGTTTCGCCACCTGCTGCGCAAACGCAAGTTCGATCCTCGGTATCAAAAAAACCTAAAAACTAAAAACCAGGGAAAGGGCCGGAGATTTAGCTCAGTGGTTCTGCCACTTGCCTCCCAAGTGCAAGGACCCAAGTTCAATCCCCAGTACCAAAAAATAATAAAATAAAAACCAGGGAAAAAAATTTTTATTGGGCTGGGAGCAGAGCTTAGTGGTAGCCTGGGTTTGATCCCCAGCACCCCCCAAAAAAGTTTCATCAAAGAAAAAAATAACACATAGCCTAAATATTAATTTTTAGGGTCTTATTAGCATAGCATTATCCTTCTCATTCTTTCTTACTTGGTTACTCAGTAATATTACATTGTATATTTACATATTTTACTTGTTTTGTTGCAATGCTGTTATTAAAAGGCCCTGTAATCTTAATAATTTCAAATTTTAATTAGGCTTGATTTTGTATCTTTAAAGTATTATAATTATTAATTAAAACTCGTTAATACCTTTAACATACTGTTATTCTAGCTACAGATGAATCCATACCCTCTTATCATGGAAGTGACATGCCAAGGAATGACAGTAGCATATGGTCAAAAGTAACTGAGGAAGGAACAGACCTGTCACAGCGACTTGTAAGGAGTGGCTTTGCAGGAACTGAGATAGACCCTGAAAATGAAGAACTTATGCTGAACATTAGCTCACGACTACAAGCAGCAGTTGAAAAACTTCTAGAAGCAATAAGTGAAACCAGTAGTCAGGTAACCTCCTTAACTTGCAATTATCTACTGTGCTTGAAGCAGATTTTCTTTTAAGGCATGGAATGGTTAAATGTTTCTGTCTGCCGTCCCACAGAAATTTAGTTGGTTGTGTTTGTGACAATCAGTGCTGGAATCACTGGTTTTATTTTCCTGTCCTATAATGTGCTGATGGGCTCTTCCACTTTGAAAATTTAGTGTTTGTTTTAGTTACTTGTTGCTGAGGCCAAATACCTGATACCCAGGCCAGGGATTTAACTCAGTGTGGTTCCACTGCCTGCCTCGCAAGTGCAAGGTCCGGAGTTCAATCCCCAGTGCAAAAAAAAAAAAAAAAAAAAATACCTGATACCCAAAGTTAAGGAAAGGTTTTTTTTGGCTTACACTTTATAGAGGTTTCAATTTGTAGTTGGCTGGCACCAAGGCAGGGTAAATGACAGTGGGGCATCACAGAAGAGAAACATTTCATGGCAAGTAGAAAGCAGGAAGGCAGCAAAGCAGTGAAGTAGTGAGGAAGCAGCAGAAGGCAGCCTGCCTTCTTTCTGTCCCTTTATATCCATCCAAGCTACACGCCCTTTGGTAGCACTCACACAGGGTGAGCTTTCCCATTATCCACACCCAGAACTATGCCAGACCAATCAGTGGACTAATTTAGTAATCACACACCCTTAATAGCAGCATCACCACTCTGGATCCAGCCACCTCTGAAAAGCCTCAACTATGACCACATGAGGCTTTCAGAGGACATCCAGACACAGCCATCACAGTGTTGTTTTAATGTTCAGAATATCTAGATTGTTAACACATTACTTTTTATACTAATAGAGATTTTTAACTTCACAATTATATAAAATGTTCTATTAAGATATATTATTTATTTTAAAGAATCTCTGAAACTGTGCTCTAGTATGACACAATGTATGATTATTATAGTATAACAAATCAAACTTCCAATTCTTTTATTTGAGTTTTACACTCATTTTACAAATATAAATAGATCCCTTTACCTCACAAACTATGTCTTGGTAGGATACTAGTGTGAGACAGTTTTTACACTAAAGTACTGTTTTTTATAGAAACTTAAAAACCCATGGTATTTCGATCTTAAAAATGAACTTCTGTGTCTATAAAATTTTTATACCATGTATGACCATTGCATCTTAAATTACTGTATGCAGATTTTAAAAATTATTTAAGCTTTTGAAATGAAGAAATTACTTTTTAAAAAAATGTTTAACTTAAGAAACTCTTGAATCAAGCTGTTATGTTAATCAAATGAGTGATTCATTATCAGCTACAAGACAAGTATTAACATTTTCATTAATATCTTTATCAGAGTATCTAAGAGCCATGTGTATTTGAAGTAAATTGAAAAGTTGAAAGGCTGTCTTTGCTCTGTTATTATTTCAAATACCTAACTTTTCTTGATGCTCCTTTTTTTCTCTTAAGAAATTATTCAGGGGGACAGGGATTTAGCTTAGTGGTTTTGCCGCCTGCTGTACAAGCACAAGGACCCGAGTTTGATCCCCGGTACCAAAAAAAAAGAAATTATTCAGTATAGCAAATTTCTACAATAGCAGTGTCTATTGGTTGTAGCAACTATGACAAATATTGTTAAATATTTTGCATTTTAATACCAGGTTCATTTAATTTAAGGGTTAAATTACTGATTATAGGCTGTTTCTTGAGTAAATGATACTTAAAATGATTTGTTAACTACATATTATTTGGCTAATATCCTTATCAACTTTTTTTCTTGGTAACTTGTTATTAGGATTCAATGAGAAAGGCATTATAAAAATAATATATATATCCAGTGAAAAATCTATCTTCCATATACTCTTCAGATATGACATTTAACCAGAATTTTCTTCAGGTTTTTTCTTTTAAATAAAATCTTAAAATCGAGAAACAAGAAAGATCATTTATTTTGTAAACAGTCTTAAGTCCTCTTGATATATGAGCATGATTGGTACCTTGAAGAGCAAAAGAATCCAGAATTACCACATTATACTGAGAGTTCATGAATTGGCCAAGGAAATGTATATCTGCTGCTACATTTCTGGACTGCCAGAAATGATTAATTGACTGGCCAAAAATATTTTCATAGAAAATTCTAATGTAATATAATATTTAGTTAGATAACAAAATAAATTGCTATCCTGGGGCAGTCCTTTTTTTTTCTAGAGCTTTCTTTCACAGCATATACAAAATTATTGAAAGCTTTGGCCGCAGTAACTCAAAAATCTCCGACATCCCAGATAACTAAAAGACATAAACTATTCTTGAAAACTTAAACATTTATATATTTACTCAGAGTGGAAAGAATGTCTGTTAATTATTACAAATAGCAAAGGTGGCCCCTCTTTCATTACAATCCTGAAGAGATATTTTTCATTACCAACATCCTAAGTGCTAGTAAGAAAATGGCACCAATAAAAACAAGCTCCAGTTGGGTATGGTGATGCATTGGTGCACCACTTCAGAAGGCTGAAGCAAGAGGATCCCAAGTTTGAGGCCAACCTGGGCTACTTAGACCCTGTCTCAAAGTAAAAAAAAAAATTTGAAGAAGGGGGCTGTAGCTCAGCTCTCCTTAGGTTCAATCCCCAATACCACAAAGCAAATTTTTAAAAACATCGAAAACCAGAGCCAGGGATTTAGCTCAGTGGCACTGCACCTGCCTTGCAAGCTCAAGGTCCTGAGTTTGATCCTGATGGGGGGGGGGGGGGGATCCAAAACCAAACAAAAACCAGCCTCATTTGCCTTATTAACTGGGCTGTAAATTATACTCTTTGATCAAATAATTAATGCTTACTTTTTCTTCAACCTGAGGTTCAATAGATTTTATTTAAACTTAAACTGACATATATCCTGTGTCACAATGTGAAATTCCATATCTAATGAAAGGACGTACACATTTTCTATCAAGATTTACTTTTTAAAAAATCTTCTAATTATCCTAAGTCCTGGGTTGGCCTTATAAAATACTTTTACCATATGCTAAGTCAGTTGAGCTAATTCTAACAGTTTCATTGGTTACTGTTCAGCACATTTAAAGCTTGAATTTATAGGCATCATAATTACCCATTTTATTCAGAGGCTTTTCGTATGCTAGAGATGATTCTTTACCAAATTTATACATGATCTCTAATTCTGTGAGATGTACTATTGGTATTTTTATTGGGATAGCATTAAATCTGTATAACAGTTTTGGAAGTATGGCCATTTTCACTCTATTTGTTCTTCCTACCCAAGAACAAGGGATGTCTTTCCATTTTCTGATATCCTCTTTGATCTTTGAAAGAGTTTGAGAAGTAGCGGCATTAGGTCTTCTCTAAATTTCTTGTATAATTCAGCAGTGAATCCGTCAGGACCTGGGCTTTTCTTTATTGGTAGGTGTAGGGAACAGGGGAAGGGGACGTTACCAGAACCTCTGCAGTAAGTCCTAGTCTCCTGTGAGTCACAGCAGCACATGGTGAATTACAGGAAAGGTAGAAAAATGAGACTGAGAAGAAGCTGAGCTTTGGGTCTGATCAGTGCTGCTCTGAGCAGCAAAGACAAAAGACCTCTAGCTTGCAGCACTTTTTATTCAGTACATGGGGAAACAGATGTAACAAGTGAAATGCAGAGTTCGGTACTTTACATTGGGATAAACAAGGTGTAAAAAGACTGGGGGGCAGTGGAAATCTAAGACAATGAGGAACTATGCAGATGAAGATTTGGTTCCTCTGTGGCATCTCCCGCAGGTGTGGTCTTGTCCTGGAGCATTACAGCATCTGGGGATCACTGAGGTCTCAGTTGTGACCCTAGGCCAAAATGCAGTTATGTCTGGAATGTCGTAGCTGGTCTGTAGGCAGGAGAACTAGGCCTACTCAAATGATTTTTCCCTAGAATTAATTATGTAGCATTGCTCCCAACAGGTAGGTTTTTAATTACATCTTTGGTTTCATTGACTAATATTGGTTTATTTAGAATTTTTATATCTTACTTGATTCACCTTTCATAATTCATATGTATCTAGGAAATCCATTCGTTTCTTCTGTGTTTTCCATCTTATTAGAATACAGATTCTTGAGGTGTAGGTATTGATGATCTTCTGGATTTCCACAGGATCTGTTGTGATTTCAAACTTTTCCTTCCTGATTGCATGGCTTTGAGTCTTCTCTTTCCTTTTTTAATAAGGTTGGCCAAAGGTTTGTCAATTTTATTTAATCTTTCAAAGAACCAACTCTTCAATTCTGTGAGTCTTCATATTGTTTTGTTAGTCTCAATTGTATTAATTTCCGCTCTGATCTTTATAATTTCCTTTCTTGAATGACCATTGGGCTCGACTTGCTCTTCTTTTTCTAGAAGCTTGAAGTTCAACAATAGATTGTTTATTTGAGCTCATTCTGTTTTTCTGATGTGGGAATTCACTGCTATATATTTCCCTTGTCAGACTGCTTTCATTGCATCCCAAAAGTTCCAGTATGTTGTATTGGCATTATTGTGTTTTAGGGGTGATAGGTCTCCCACCACCTCAGCAGCTATTATGTATAGTAGCTGCCCTCTTCCTATGGTGCCTTGCCCCCTCCCCTGTGTGATATCATGCCAAGATGGTTGCTCCCACCAAAGAACAAACCCTTCTTCCCAGCATGCCCCTGGTCCCACCTAGAGAGTAACCTAATACTCGCTCACCTCCTACCACCTAGTGACGTCATGGGCTCCTCCATTCCCTAGTCACTACCTCACTCAACCCCACCTCTGCCCCTACAAACCCCACCCCAGTCTCTATAAAAGACTCTCCCTGCCCCGGCCATATTGCTTTTGTCTCTCCTTTGTTCAGAGACAGCCCGGCAGATCTGTTCCCTAATAAAGGCTTGTTGTGGCCTGGTCTGGTCTTGGTCTTCGGCCCTTTTATCTGACAAGGGGGTTGTGTTGTTGCTGTTTGTTTTGTTTTTATACCAGGAACCGAAATCAGGACAACACTTGCCAGGCAGGCAGTGCAGCGCTGAACTACATTCCTG